TTGAAATATTACTTGATTTCTTTCCGTCACTATTTCCTTTAAATAGTACTATTTTCAAGTTCGCAGTTCTAGGTTTTGAAAATAACCAATCAATTTAAAAGAACTAGAAAAATACAACCAATCATTTAATAAATCTTTAAATTAAATTATACAGTTCCATATTATTTTTGTGTCAGTTTGTTTCATAAAAAGTTATGAAGTTTTTATAATTAATAATTGCTATATATAACATATAAATAAAACAAAACCAAATAAGAAAATAAAATAATTAATTGTTATTAATAACTATGATAAATTTAAATAATGCAATAAGTTTAATTCATTTATAAAGATTCATTTTAAATTTAAGTTAATATAATATATATGTTGTGTAAAATAGTAAATAGATGATATTAGTCAATTATATTCTTTAGAATTTATATAGTTTTATTTGTAATTTTAATATTTATAATCTTCTTATTAATTAAATTTATTGGTACTATGACATTATAGATTCTCATTTATTATTTCATTCGTTTAATACAAACTTTAACAATTTTGCTGTATTTTATAAGTATAAACTCGTTTGTTTAATATAAATTGATAATATTATTTTAGAGTAACACACTAAAAAGACAAAAAAAAAACAATTAAAATAAGATGTAGATTATTGAATATTTGAAATTACTAATTCAAATTTATTTAATAAGTAATCAATAGTTAATTAAAAATATAGTAATCCAATTACTCTCTAGTGTTGTAATACAGTTTTTAATACCTACTAACAAAATCAATTATATTTTCTATAGATAAAGAATGTCTAAAGTTTCATTCAAACTGTAGCTATAATTTTAAAAAATACTTCTTTTTATGCCTAACTTTTTAACAAAATTCTCTTGTTCTTATATTCTTTTTGATAGCATTACAATTTATCAATAATATTATCGACTAGTGCTTTAAAAATAGAAAGAAATAATTCATAACTTCCAAAACGAAGCAGCATACTTAAAAAGAATGAGTCTTAAATTACTAACAATTACATAAAAAAAATTATTACATCATATAAAGAAATTTCTCAGAAAAAAAAGGTAAAACAAAAGGAATTACTATCAATAAAACCTCCAAATTACAATGTCTGAAGTGAATAAATGAAGAAGATATTAATTCTTTAAAAATGAAAGATATTTTTAATTTATTGATAAATAAAATTGTGTTATTAAAAAATAATAAAG